AGCGACGGTCGTGTACACATGCTCCGGCTCCTCCTTCTCCGCCACAACCTGCGGTGCCTCCTCCTCCTCCTCATCCACCGGCGCGTCCTTCTCAGCGACCACTTCGACTGGTTTCTCTTCCTCCTTACTCTCCACCTCCTCCTGCGGCGCCGACACCCGAATCTCCGGGTTCGCCTTCTCCCTCTCCGCCCTCTCTCGCTCCTCCTGCTCCTTACGTTCTCTCTCCCTCTTCTCCCTTCTCTTCTTCACCCACCCCATCCCGCTCCCATCATCCTCGTCATCCCGAGCAGCCCCCCGCCCGCCCTCCGTCCCCCCAATCGTCTCTCCGCTCTGCAGCTTCTTCCACACCGAATTCCCCGCACCAGAATCAACACTCCCCATCCCGCCGTACCCCCACTCGACGAACTCGGGATCCGTGCGCGAGCTCACCGTCGCGAACGGGTTCTTGTTCTGGTACTGGTACTGGTTGTGGTGCTTCGCGCCGTAGATCCGCCCGTTCAGCATGCGCACGCCGCCGCCGGCGGATCGCTGCCCGGTTTGCAGTGAGGCGATCGACCCGGACGCCGAGGACGGGCGTTTCTTGCGCTTCCCACCTCCCATGCCGGAGAGCAGCTTCTTCTTGCGCGAGTCATCCGGCTCGGAGGTCAGTGACTGGGAACGTGCGAGAGAGCCGCCGAAGGTGAATGAGGAGGGACCGATGGTCGACGCGGAAGCGGTGGAGTAGGCTGATTGCGTGGATTGTGCTGAGGAAAAGCGGTGCAAGGGCACGCCGAACACGAAGGATTCGGTATCACGCGAGGAGGTCCTAGTGATGAGTTGAGGGGCGAAGATAAAGATGACTGTGACAAAAAACACTTGCCTCGGGAGGCCAACGCTCTCGGTGCTCGTATTCGAGAAGCTCAGCGACGGCTTCTTGCTGATCGTGAAAGGACGCAGCAGCTTGCTCGTCAGGCCCCTCTTCCCGCTACTCGGTAATGCACCCGGGAAGCACGAAGCGTTCGTTGGGGACGAGGGCATAGAAGGGGCGGGGGAAGTGGTGTATTCGTAGTTGGCATGAGACGAGATAGAGGACGCCAACGACGGGGGGTGAGACTCGGGCGCTAGCGCAGGCGGCGGGAGCTTGTACGAATTAATCCTCGGCGAGTCGACGAGCTCCCAATCAGAGTTTGTACTCGCATGTACTTGGGGAGACACCGACGGCGAGCGCGAGTCCATACCAATAGTGAATTTTTTGGTGTTATTGCTGTCGCCGCTGACGCTGGCGGCAGACGAGACGATCATGCCGTCATCGTCGGAGAGGGGGATAGGAAGCTCGTCGCCGCCGTCAGTGACAAAGACTGCACGGCGGGGGTCGGGGAGGGGGGCGAAGCGGATCTTGCGTGCTGGCGCAGAGTGGGGGGCGGGAAGCGAGCGCGAGCGGTGGGTGCGCGCTGGGTGGGCGTCGACGTCGGTCGAAGAGGAGTAGAGGGCATCTTCGTCCGTCGCCGCTGACGACGACGAGGAGGAGAGCGATGTGTACGACGCCGGGTGGGGGAGCGGCGTCGGTGTCGGCGTCGGGAGGGGAAAGGCCGTCGTCCTCGGGGATGGGTTGAGGAGGATGCCGTGGCCCGGACGGAAGGCGGGGGACATGAACGGGCTCGAGCTAGGCTGCATTACAGCGGTCATCGTTGGCGTCGTCGTCGGGCAAGAGCAGGAGCTATGCAGTCATAATTAGATATCGCCCGTGAATTATAGCAGGGCGACGTCGCAACTCGGCCAAGCAGGGCGACCAGCGCCGTGCTGGGACAGCACCGTCGCAGTCTGGCTCGCGTTCAAGTTCTTGTCCAGATCGCGAAGCAGATCGAGTGCGGTGGCGGTGCAGTCCACGCGGCGGCGTACGCTCTGGCTGTCCAGCGCGCTAGAGTTTTGTGTTCTTGCTATTTGGCCCGTTCTCCCTTTGTCGCTCTCTGCTACGCCGTCTCGCCCCGATGGAAGATCTCGACCCTGCATGCAGTGACTATCGCAACGACGCAGACGGCTCGTTGCATACGCAACGGTCGGCCGCGCGCGCCGGACGTATCTGTCACAACGCAGCCACGAAATCGCTATGGTCGAGGCGTCTTAGGAATGCTAATGCCACGGATAAGAGAGGATACAATGCTCAGGTCTGTTTATTCATCCAAAGCAATATACTACTCAGAGTCCTCGCTGTCCCCACACGGGATTCCAAATTTCAGCCCGGGTGGTCATCGTATACCGCAGACCGCCCTCCCGCACAGCCAACGCACCTCCAAGTGATAGCCCACGGAGGCGACTCGGCCACGCAGCAGTCGACGCAGGCGGGGAGTCAACCTGGACGCCGCCGGACTGACCGAGCGGCAGCCGACGCGGCAAACCGTGCACGCTACTCTAGTCTGTGCTCTACTGTAGTATAGTGAGATTCATTAATATCAGGCCTTTGGTGTCCTAGAGCGAGTATATGAGATTAGCCGTTGATTTGTTGCATGAGCTTACCAGACTACAACCAGATTGCGTCGGGCTATACGAGCGGTCCGTAAGTAATGCGATACTAACAAGCTGGCGCCCAGTTCCTGTAGTCCAGCGACAGGTTGTGGTGCTTGATGCTGGGTATACAGGCAATCATGAACCATTCAACGTAACACTATTGCTTACTCTCACTTGCCATACTTGACCCTCCCAACCTGTTACGTATGTTAGCGGTTGCCTGCAGCAAGTCCAATTAGCACTGGGTCCTTCTATCTAAACAAGAGATACCTACACACCGTGAATACCCTGGCTTAGCCGCTGCAACAAGCATGGGGCCTATACATTCGGGGTATCCCGTCAGCAAAGGCGAGCGGGGCTACTAAGGCACGCCTAGCCGTCAACGTGCTCGGGCGCCCGTGCAGGATCCCTATACGGCAAAGACTACTACGGCTATAACGAGTCGAGCTAATGCTGGATGCAGCTAGCCTTGTCGGAAATCCAGTAATGAGACCCAAGACGTCTGGTTCTGCCGATCAGGGATAAACGTAGGCGGCTGGCTGTCAACCTCGTACCTTTGTTAAAACACCCTGCCACGGTGGGAACCTCGAACTGCAGGTGGATGCACGCACTATTAATGCTTACCCATGTGTAGTCAGCCCGGCATACGGCGTAGAGCAGGACGCTAGTGGCCTTGGTGTGTACATGTATATCCAAAACCACTAGTTCCAATAGACAGGGACTACGAAGACTATACGGTTAGCAACCTGTGAACAAGTTAGCGGCTAATGACCGCGCCTGGAAGCTATGCCAGACTTACCTCTACCAGCCAACAGCGTTCTCTTAAGGAAAATCTGAGCGGTCGTCGAATGAGAAGCACGCCTGTAGTAAACAATTAGAATAGCGACTACGGCGGCGACAGGAGCAACTCACCGCCGAGAGCAACTCACCGCCGAGAGCAACTCACCGCCGAGAGCAACTCACCGCCGACGCAGCGGCTCTACAAAGCGCTCCTCGCACGTAGTCGCTTTCGCGAACACGCTTACCGCGGCGACTCCACGAGTGTCAAGGCAAGTCGAAGAGAACAAGTGAGAGAGGGAGGTAAGGAAGCGGATGATAATTCCTCTGGCAGGACAAACACTTTATATACCCGTGCTCTGCCCAACGTCCCGAGTACCGGCGAGGAATTTGCGCACCCAAATAGCCCTGAACCCTCGTGAACAGTCGACGCGGAGTTTTGCCGCTTTCCAGAAATTCGGGGGAATCGCCGCTCGCGTAACGTACGTACTCGCGCAAATTGGACGCCGCTCGCTCTGCGCCCGCTAACAAATTCTGCTTTCGTTAATGATTCACGTCCGTGGTCATGGCATGGAGCAACAACGTCCGCCGCTCGATGAGGATTTCGCCTGCATCCCTCCATGACGCGACACGCGCTGCTCGTCCTGCGAGTCTTGGCAGATCGGCCCCCGTAGAGTAGAGGTAATCGTCGTCGTCTCAAACGCCTGAAGAGATATCGTTAGCCAGAAATCTGGACGCGCACCTCATGGTTACTCACCGCCTCGCATGTCCCCGCCCAATCACGTACACTCATCGATCCCGGCTGTAAAACTCAAGGCCAAATTCAATAGCGGCGCAGCCCTGACGCTGCGCTGCATCCGAAGGTCTCGCACTACCAGACCGCGTTTCACGCTAGCGGCGCATTCTTCTCGCCGCGCTCTGCCGCGCGGGAGTCGCGACGCGCTTGGGCGGAGCATACTCGATCGCTGGAATATCCATACAGTGGGCCCAGAGTACGTACCTCCATGGCACCTGCTGGGGCCAGCCTCGTTACCCACCCCGCGTAATTCCAGTCGCAGCAATACGCCGATATGGCGTTCCAGGCTCGATGTTTATCGAACGGGAGCAGACACTCCTCCTCGCAGATTTGTTGGCTACCGTACCAAATACTACAGAATTCCTAGCCTAGTGAGAGAATAACTGCAGTGTACTGGAAAAACGACGGTCAGCGGGCGAAAGGACGTATGCGACAGGTAGGCGCACCAGGCAACACATCCGCGTCTTCGATATGCTGTAACAACTCGCAAGTTCGCCGAATATCGCAATGCCCTCGGCAAACGCACTGGTTTCGCTTCTCAGCGGTCCTGTCAATCCATTCCTGACGTACCCAGGGACAGAGATTCGGTTGACATGCGGTCATCTCGCACTGCTCGTCCCTGTACATCCGAACCCGCCTCGCGAAGCGGAGCAGTGGGATGCGGCGGAGCTAGCCCAGCTCGACCAGTTGCCCCTAGGTTCGATAGCGATAATCTAGACGCCTCGAGGCTTCTCTGGAAAGCTCGGATAGCGATGTGTGTCAATCCAGCGCGAGACACTTTGTTCATAGGCAAAGCATCTGAATTTCGGACGCCAGACAAGTGGACAATGCGCCTCCCTCGATCGAGGCTTCGAGCTATGATGTCGCAGTGTATACACAACGGTACAGAGTACTATTCAGGTGATAACTACTTACTAGTTGTCTTGAATGCTCCACTACGCTGTTGGCAGCATTTCCGACGTTTCTGTTCCCGTCCGTGAATCTCCCATCACAGAACCCATTTCGCGACCTTCAAGTAATCCTCCAGCCAGTGTGGGATGTGTCTAACCGGTTGTAAGCCTAACAATGTCGTCTATAGTCTTCGAACAGGCGTATTCACTACGACGCACATTCGCCATGTCCGTTGTAGTGACTACGCCGACGAACGTGAGCTCGCCGCAGGGAATGCGGTTTGCCTGGAGTACTCGAGAGCTCGCGACACGGAAACAGTCCATGTCGACTTTCGAGCACTAGGCAAGCCACAGTCGAGTGCCATTCGGAGAAGTGGGGAAAGGTGGCGGCGTGCTGAACGGGAGCTAGCGGTAGGGGGAAGCTGACATAGCCACGGACGGACGGACAGGACAGGGTTATAGACATAGAGTACATAGACGATCAGACATTTGGCAAGCGACCGGAAACAAGAGAGCACGAGATGGAGAGGCGGGATGATGAGGAATCAATTCGGCGTTGGGCACGCCACTTCAAATCGACGTCGACGCTCTCACCAAGCTCAGGCTCTCACACCATCCTT